CCTCTAATTGTATGAACCAAGCAACGAAAAATACATTTATGAGTTTGGTTTTGAGACAACAGAAGTTAAATATTATGTTAAATCACAGCCATTCAGTTATCCTGATTTAGACTTTTATGGTGATCAATTCTCAAGCTTCATTTTAACTCAACTTTTAAAAATAAAAGAGATCTTTTGCTATATTTTCAAATTGTGTACATGATAAAATGTGTATGCATATCCAAATACATATTTATAGGCAAAATTATTATACACACACACACACACATATGTAACACACAATGCCTCTGTCTTGGTTTTCATCCTAGCAGACACAAAGATATTTATCAAATGGACAACGTATTTTATGGGAAAAATAATTTTGCTGACTTTAAAACGGCTAACAGTCTTTTTCCTGTGAAAGATAAGACACTTTTTTGATGGAACACTATGGAAGCTAAATGAACACAGCCACTTGATTGCAAAATTTTTCCTCACAGAGACCCTAAGTTTCCAGATGAAGAGACGCACAGCACCAGAGTTATACTGTGGATACTACAGAATCAGATTCTATATTAATTAGAGGTAAAGTTGAAATTATCTATTTCTTTCTTTAAGTTCAAAAGAGAGGCAGAATAGAACACTAAATAAGTAATAGCTTTTTGATATAACGCAGTTATCTCAATTCAGAACAAAAAAAACAAAAAAAAAACCAAGAAGGAGTAAAACTGAAATGGAAATCTATGTTTATGCCAGTGTAATAGGATATGACCTGTGGAGGTACTTCAATTAAAACAGGAGTTATCATACCTTACATAAAGGCTTGGACACAAGGTTGTTATATCATCTTTCTTTTTTACTTCAATTAGTTTGAAAAGTGAAACACTTCTACTTTCACTGCCCTTTTCAAGTACACTGAATAAAGAAAAAGGACTTTTGATATTCAAAAAAAGAACACAGGATTCATCTTCGATGGAATGTAAAGCCAGGGAATAAGAAAACACTTACGAAATATTTTCAGGAGAGTACACAACAAATGAATCTTATTTTAACACATGGAAAAGAAAGAAAAATACCCATGCACAGATGTTACATGTTTTCCAAATTACTTACAGGACTTCTCAGATTCTATACATACTCATAAAATAAGCTCAGTACTTACCCACAGAGCCATAATCATTTGGAAGTTCAGGATAAAGTTTGTTTGAATTCTTTTTAGCTGTAAGAGAAGATTTAGTAGCAAGTTACATGATATATCAACATATATTGTTACATTTCATACACTGCTTTTCAAATATATGCTTAATAGTTAGAAAATGACTGCAGTTATCTAAGGAGCAGTAATGGTGAAGGAAATAGGATTGTGCTTTATATCCTTGTCCAGAGAAATAAACCAAATTAACAGGAACCGCAGTAAAGCCTCACTTCTGATGAGAAAACTTTGGCAAATCAACAGTTGTGGAGCCAAAACTCTGCCTCCTTGGCTCAACTATTACAACTCTATCTACCTATTCAAGGATAATTCAAAGATAATGACAAACTAGAAAGGAATCTAGTTCTCTATAAGCCAGAAATTTTTAGTAGGATTATTCTTTTTGCTAAGAAGTTTCACTGTACTGAAGGAGCTTTTATGTGTACAATAAACATTAATGCTCCCTTTGAGCTATTATATATGTTTGTAACTACACAAATACTGTAGCAATTTCTGTAGCAAAGCTGTCAGATAGAAAAGGTTTGTTACAGATATCTGCTAAAGAAACATTCACACTATCATTAGAAACCAGATCAATAAATTTACCAAAAGAAGAAGAAAAAACAAAGCGTAAACTCTTACCTTTTTCACTCATGGAACTATCCCAAACTGTGTTTGCCCAAGGAAGAGTATTAAAAATACATATACATATATATATATATATATATAATATATACATATATATAGACAGCTACCACTATAAGAATAGTATAAAGTTCATCAGTTTTAATGCTCCATTTTTATATATAGCAATAAACTAACCCTCATCAAAATATCTTCTAACCTGGTGGTGGTGGCCTAACAGAGGGCTTACGTGGCTCTGGTCTTGATGATGGTCTAGGAGGTGGGTCATTTACCTAAAATATACAAATTTTAAAATAAGTTGCGTCGCACCTGGAAGTACACTGTAACTTCAAATCTATAGGTATGTCAAGTCACGCTAAGAAATGGCTCATTTTGCACTGAAATTGTATGAACTCAAGAAGCAAACTAAAAAATTAATATTTATACATGACTGTAAGATAATTCACATGACACTGTGAAGGTAAAGATGAAAGTACGTGATAGTCTACCAGTAACATCAACACTACAGAAAAAAACATCTTCTATAGTTCACAGTATTATATATTTATCTTAAATGCGATCGTTTGAATAAGAGACCGAAAAAGTAGAAAAATTAAAAGTATTCACATCAAATCTGGTACACTTATTATTTACAGGTTAACTCGATTAAGAATACTTGGAACATACTTTTCTAATCATCATCTCTGATTTGGTTATGCACTGATCTAAAAATAAGGATATAAATAGTTACTTTAGAGGATACAAAGCAAAAATAGCAACATCCTCATCCAGAAAAGGCTACTATGACGATAGCGAACGGTATATCTGAATGAACATGTTAAGCACATGAAGTTTCTGCTGTGCATTACATTTGTAAGCATCCAATAGAGATCCGAGGAATGTCACAGAAACAGCAACATCATCATTACAACCGACTATAAACAGTGCAGCAACAGAAAAAGCCTATATGGAAAAAGGGACAGACAAACCCTTCTTTGTTCACTTACAGCCTTTCCTGGATTTTTTTTTTGTTCCTCATTTTCATATACTTCAGTGAAAGATGCTAGAGTTTCATAAAGATCTTCTGCTTGAGCAGGAAAAGGCACATCACCAAATAAGATTGAACTAGCACGAATATCCTGCCCATAAAACCTGATACAAAAGAAAAGATACCAGATATTTCATCACTATCACATTTCAGTTTCTAGATAACTTCATTTCGTGCAAATGCTCCCCCGCTACATTTCTCACACTGACAGTAGCAGTTCAACACTATAAATTTTGAATGATAAATAACTATAGCAAACTTGAATGCCTATCTTATTTCAAACTATTTTTCACCAGTAATACTTCGTTTATGGTCATCTGGCATATACCAACTAGAGCATTTAAAAGCCAATCACATACCGAACTGAAGAAATGCATTCCGCTTTTACAAAAGGTTGCAATACATTCCTTAACAATGCAGTAAAATTCCTTAATGATGCAGTAAAACAGGAAAACTGCAATTTTATATGCAGTGGAGGAAAGCTGCAAATTACTGACATACTTTCACTAAAAGTAGTATTAGTCTTTGCTGATCGAAGTTTTCATAAACAGAAAACATACAATGCAACAGATACACAGTAGTTACTAATTTAGATTCTCGGAGCTGTTTGGTTGGAGTATTAGGATCTGCGGTATGCTCTGTTTCAAGCACCTCCACGCTCTCAGAGGTACCTTGCATTTCAAACCTTAACAGGCTGCACAAAGGAAGCCACACTGCCTAAAGAGAAGATTTTCCCCAGCTGAGTGTTCACTGAGGCTGTAAACCAGATTTTTTTTGAAGTGGCTTTAAAAAATATTTGTCATGTGCTAAATTTCCTTAAGAACTATCTTCTACAATACACAATCTCCTCAAACATTCAGCATTTTCTCAGTATCGTTTACACGTTGTCCAAATTAAAGACATATTTATGCCCTTCAAAAAACCCTAAACTCAGCACATAATATTCTCAAAACATACTAATTTTTTCTCAACTGAATGTCCTCGTTCTTTGTGTCACTATTCATTTGCTGAACCCTCTGGATTTGAAGGGAACTTACTTGCGATTAGTTTCTTTCCTTTCAATTAAACAAGTTCCTTCCAGAGATACACCTGCAAACAGTCCTCGAGATTTGCAGTAGGTATAGACAGCAGCAGAGCTTCTCAGGGCAACATCCCCTTCTAAGTTTCTAGAAGAAGGAAAAAAAAGTTTTGCTTGATATTCTTCCATATGGCTTTATAACATGAACAGCAATTGTCTTTTTAATCCTACCTGTCTTCTTATTCTAATCCTACCTGTCTATCCTGTCAGGAATAGCTTGCAAGCATTCACAAAAGTCAGCGAGAATTTCACTTTTCTCTGCTCTTATGCACTCTATTGAACTTATTACTGGGTCAGATCTGAAATCCACTTTCAGTTCTCATCTCAGACAAGATCCAGGACAAAATAATTATCTTGTGTGGTAACATCTCCTCTGAAGTACAAGCTAATGCTGCCTTGAGAATGCTCTATAATAGACCTCCTCCTGCATTCAGAAGTCAGAAACTGACTTTTAACTCTAACCATGAAGATTTCTGATAACCATTAAAAATTTGCAAGTCAGGACATAATATATATATACAAAATTCTGATTGGTTGCTTGTTTGAAATGACCTTCCAATGACACTGATTCCACACCTTCCATAGACAAATTTGTTATTACTCAAAGTTTTTCTTAGCCTTCCAGAAAACTTTCTAATTGCAATTTAATCTAATTTTTATCCTGTCTGCTATGGACAGAGAGAACTGCTTTACTCCTTTCCTCTTTCTTGCAGCCATTTATGCATTTGGAGACATTATCACAGGAAGTCTCCTCTTCTTCGATCAGTTCTTCAGACATTCTTCATAGACCATGCTTTAAAAAGCCCTGATTATGTTCATTATCACTTTGAACTCTGTCCAATACAACCACATCTTTCTTGATTTTGTGGTGCCAAAAACTGCACAAAATATTTTAATTAAGGCCTTATTAGAGGCCTTAAGGCTCAGTAGAGTTGGAGGATTACAGTGTTTTTCCCACACAGGATGACATATTTTAAGTTTGAAGGGACCACAGGAGGTCACCAAGTCCAACCTCCTGCTCAAAGCAGGTACAACATAAAATTAAAATCAAGTTGCTCAGGACTTTGTCTATCTAGTTTTTGAATACCTTCAAGTATGTAGATTCTACAGACACTCTAAGCAACCCGTTTCCATACTTAATTATACTCATAGTGAATTTTTTTCCCTAATCATCTAGTGAGGGCCTTCCTTGTTTCCATTTATGACTGTTTTTTGTTCTGCTGCCAGGCACCTCAGTAAATAACTGGGTCTGTCTGAGTAATCTCCTCTTGGCCATGTAGCCTCTTAGAAGGCTGCTATCAGGTGCCCCAAAGCCTTCTCTCCTCCAAGCTAAATAAGACTAGCTCCCAGGCTGACCTCGTAGTTCACAAGCCATCTTGGTGGCGCTGTACTGGATACATGCAAGTCCACCAACATCCTTCTTGTACTACAGGGCCAAACCTGGACACAAAGTTCTGGATTCAGTCTATAAAGTGCCAAGGGGAATACTCATTTCCTTTCTGTTGACACAGTTCCCTGTGCTATTAGCCGCCCTTGCTGTCAGGGTGCACTGCAGACTCACGGGTAACCTGTGGTCCTTCAGGACCCCCAGGCCCTTTCAGCAGAGCAGCAGAGCCCGTGACACCCCAGCCTGTACCACTGCAGAGGGTTCATTGAACCCAGAGGCAGAACTTTGCATCTGTCCTTGTTTAATTTCACAGGGTTTCCTGTTGGATCTTTCCTTTTCACTGTCTAGAGCCCTCTGAATGGCAGCCCTGCTGTGAAGCGTATTGACTGCACCCCTTGGTTTGGTGTCATCCACAAACCTCTCCTTCTCCAGATCACTGATAAAGACATTAAGCGGAAGAGGTCCCTGAGTACATTCCTGAGGAATTCCACATGTAACTGGCCTCCAGGTAGAACACGAACCATTTACCGCTATTCTTTGAGCCTGATGATTTGTTTTTTCACCCATTTGCTAGATCCTCACGTAAACCACGATGTCCCAACTTGGATATAGGTCAAGGCAGATGACATCCACTGCCCTCCCTGCATCCACAAATTTATCTTGTCTGTGGAATAGGTATTGTCTTATCCTTCTTTTTTGTCTGTAAAGATGACAAATGTCAGTAAAAACTTCATCAAAAGAACAAAAGCATAAGGACACAAATGCCACATGGGGAACTGGGCTTGTTTAGCATGGAGAAGAGTAGGATTGGGAAGACCTAACAGCAGCCTTCCAATACCTATGAGAAGCTTACGAACAAGATGAAGCCAGGCTCTTTACTGCAATGCATAGTGGAAGGACAAGAGGAAATGGATGTAAACTGAAACAAAAGATTTTTTTAACTGGATATAAGGCAAAACTTTTTCATCCTGAGAACTGACAAGCAGTGGACTAGGTTGCACAGAGAGGTTGTGCATTCTCCGTCTTCGGAGGCTTTCAAGACCTGACTGGAATAAAGCCCTGGGCAATCTGGTCTGATCTCACTTGGAGCAGGAGGTTGGACTAGCGACCTCCTGGGGTCCCTCGCAAACTCAATTGTTCTATGAGTCTTCACATTGAGCTACCTTAACATTTTTAAGCTTTAGAAGCAATTATTTGGTATATTTTTTATTTACTATTAGTTAGATTGAGGTGACAGAAAGTATATGCCCATAGACCAATACAAATAATAGTGCAGCGTCAGGCACTGTAGCACCTAGGCTTTTCATCAAGACCAGCCTTCAACAGTCTCAAGTTTCATTTTGTTTCCATCTAATCTGCTGAGAGGAAAGAACAGACGTTAAAGAGAGAGAATAAACCTCAGAACGGGTTGCTTCTGCCAATGAATTCCTTTATCTAAAACAGAAAAAGGCAATAACAGACTGAAAAGGCATAACATGACAAAAACAATACAATCCAGTCAACATACAGCCTGTACAGTTTATCCAAATATGTCAAAAAAGGACTTATGAACATTTGAGAAGCTTTAGAAGCTGTCTTTCATATTTAATTCTACCTCATATTAGGAAAGTATTTTACTCACCTCCCCAGAGGGCCAATTGCCACAGTAAGATTTCCTCCAAGTGTAAGATTGCCTCCTTTGGCAAAAGCTTCTACTGCTCTCTCATGATTCAATATTATTACTAAGTCTGAAACCTATAAAAATATCAAATAAAAATACTACGCTTTTCAAGAAGAAAGTTAGAATTGTATGGGAGAAGAACTTGTGGGAAAATAGGTGGAAGCATATAAGATATTTCCTTCCCCTGAATGAAAACTAACTCCAGATTTATCAGTTTTGTAATGGAAGTTAGAATCTCTCATTCTACTCTCAGTCCTTCAGACTTTTTGTAAATAATTCTTTTGAAATAGTTTTCATAAAGTTGATTCTTTTTCTGCAAGACATTTTGAAACTAAAAATTCTTTCACCTAGTTTTTTATTTTTATTTTTAAGTGCTGATGTGGACAATATGTGAAAAGAATAGTTTTAATGGAATATCCTGACTAACGAATTTTTATCTTCTATAGCTTTGAGAAACAATTATGAATGTATTTTCAGATGTGAAGAGAGATCAGATTAAGAAAATCATTTTTAGCATTCCATAACTGAAGTAATAGTAATGGCAAGGAAGAACATAGTGAACAAGTACTACTTATTTGTCTGTCCAAAGAATAAGCAACAATAAAAAATATAGATTTTCTCATTACTAAGAGAATTTAATTTTCAGTAGCATAAATTAATTTTCAGTAGCATAAAACTGTAACTCTCTTCAGATTAACAGGTTTCAGTGTAACTCTCCTATAACTCTTCTCCCAAACTAGGAAGCATTCAAAAGAAAGGAAGGAAGAAATAAAAAAAGTCTTTCAAACACGTGCATGGCCCCATAAAGATCACTATCTTATTTTGAAACCTCAGTAAATGTGTTGCATGAATTTAAAAAAAACAAGCAAACAAAAACCTGACAGATGAGTTGTGGCACACCTGAGACTGATGCACAGCCATCTATTTTAGCATTCAACAGAGTGGATTACAGCCTTAGAAGCTTATTGTGATGGAATTTCTTTTCAAGAGATAACTTGGGTACCCTGGGACTACTGTGCCTGATCTTTCATCAGATGCAATTGACCGAAAGCAGGGTTCATAAAAATTTTCAACTTACCCCAAATTCCAAAAAGTGACAGCAGGGAACATGAAAGGAAATACTAGATTATTTGGAAAAAAAAAAAAAAGCGGGGGGGAACCTGGCCCACCAATGTTACACAGCATAAGGGAGTCCTTTGTTATTAGTCCCATTATAACCCCCACCGGATCTCAAACAAAAAATGGCTGACATTATTAGCTTCTGAATTATCCAGGAATGGGGAAGAGAACATCATCTGGGATTCTGCTACCTCCTCTTACCCGTAAAGATGATCCTAAAAACCAAATATTATTTTTTCTGATAAAAATAAGTGTTCTGAGCCTTTGTTTAGAGAACAGGCTAAATGAATCCACAGTAAGAAAAGCTGCACTGAAAGTATTTAGATAAATTATTTTAAAATTTGTGCTTAATTTGAGGAATCACATTATTTTACTGTGAAAAACAACTATTATTGTGAAATCTGTGATTCCTTTCTTATGGTTTTTAAACACCCACAAGTACCACTACTCAACTATAACCTGTCCTATAGGAACAATATTCAACCAATTTCCACAAGGTTTAAGTTCATAAATGGCTAGAACAGTGCTGAATTGGAATCTGGGCTCCTACGCCACTTAAGTATTTCTGAATAATATCTATTCCCTAGAACAGGAAAAGAAAATTGTGTTACAATAATGCTAGTAAGGAAACAGTACTTTGTTAAGCTGAGTTACTAAAATATCAAACTAAGGACAAAAGAGTGTCCAGAAAAAAGGTCCTCTCAGAAATAGCTTTTGGGTACTAAAATTACTTTAGTAAAAATCAATAGTAAATGGCTACATTTTCTAAAATATTAGATGGGGATGATTAGAGGAAAAGTTTCATTGATCAGTCAAAGCATCAGAAGAGGTTGTTTCATTTGCCACAAAGGGAAAAAAGGATAAAAAGCCCTGGGTCTCAAACTCATTAATGTTTGGTAATGCATTCAGATGCTGCAGTCATGAAAGTCAAAGAAAAGTCCTTACAAAAATTAGTAATTTTGTATTCACAGCAGCTTTTAAAAAGTGCACAGTAATAATGCCTGAGATCACTGAGTGAACAATGAGGATACAACAAAATATTGATTGGTTGTTCATGATGTGAGTACTAGATGACTGGCTGCCAGGATATGGATGGCTGGTTAGCTGCAGGAGACATACTGGGGGCTGGCCTGCAGCGCACAGATCAGCTATGCAGAGATTCTCCAGAAGAGCAAACGATCTTGTTGGCAGCATAACGCTACATCTGATTTTCTCTTGGAAAGTGACTCCTTTCATTTAGTAGAATATAAGCTAAACAGAAGGGAAAGGGAAGCATGGGAAAGATGACTAGGGCAAGGAAGAAGGGAACAGACGGAAACAGGCTAGGATGAAGAAACCGTGAGCGAGAAGGGATGCAGAAGCAGAGAGCAAATGATAAGGGCTTAGATTAACAAGATGTCTCTGAAAGTGTTACAGTTCCTTGTTTGACTATTTCTACCGGCTGGAAATTGACTCATTTTCTGCAGGATTTCTTCAGAGGAGGTGCCATCAGTTTTGATGCTCCCAAAGTGAAGGGTGAAGTCAATAATCACAAGTTTGAATAAATGCGTGAATTACAGTAGTATTAGCTAGACTCCATTTTACGCTACCTTCTATTCCTTTCCCCATCTCTTGCCAGATGGAGTCCCTGGCTGCTCTTTAACAAAGCATTTGATACAATATTAAATACAGCATACTTATAATCAATGCTGATTGGCTGATCTGTGAACACTGAATGGAAGTTTTCCATACGGGAAAAAAATGAGTCTACTAAAAGTGAGAAATCAAAGAAATAGCAGTTATGTCACTTATTTTTATTTAAATATCTCCAAGCAATTAGATTGATATGATCAAAAAAACATGTTTTGTTTGACTTGTATAAATGAATTTTATAATAGCATATTTACACAAAAAATAGATTTCAATATCTCACTGCTATTTAGATCTTTCTCAAAACATTTCAATTTATTGCAAAAAGGAGTTGCTAACAAGTATTTCAAATACAAAATCATACCTCAATTCCGATTTCAAATCCACCACCAAGGCCAGCAATTCCTATTGCAGAGGGAGCAGACCAGGCTGCCACACAAAACGAGACATAAAATAACAGGAGTTTACTTAAGTTACAAGGACGTCTCTAACTGAGTCTTGTTAGACCTCAAAAACACTAACAGGTTCTCTATTTAAAACTAGATTCATAACCACTAGAATGCAGATGTCACATAACTATACTAGCTTATAAGAGTAGGAACGTAAGAAATACAAATCCTTATGTACAAATTCTTTATCATACAGTTGTCCATTATTGGACATGAATTTCTCTAACAAGTCTTAAACTATAGATTTTTGTACTTCACTCACACTGAGAAGTTCACATATTTTTCTGTAAAGGTACTGAAAGTACTTACACCTGGAAACAAAATGTACAAAATTTTGAAAATAACTTTCAAATCAAATGTTACCTACTAGCTTGACTCTTTACACACCTTATGTTGCATGCTGTGAAAAAAAGAATAATGGAAAAATGTTTTAAATTCTCCCATGAAGTATAAAAGACAATATCCACTTACTTCCATTTGGAAGACGGGCTAATACAATCCCACTGCCTCCTCGAGCAGTCACCAAGAATCCAGCTTTGATAACAGACAAAACTGCAAGGCCTTTGGCTTTAGCTATTACATGGGCTGCAAGAGGAAAATCATTTAAGAGAAATCTTTTAAAAGAAATCCAGAGAGGGGAAAAATAAAACTATAGTTAACAATTTTGAAGATACAGTCAAGGAATCAAAACGAAAGCTTAAGGAAAACTGCAAAAAAACCCCCAAAACAAAACAAAAAACCACACACCTCCGCTCCACAAGCAACCACAACGCTAGACACAGGTTACATTAGCGTTGCCACAACTAAGACACTACTGCAGCTACTCCAGGTTAGCTCATATCGAATTAGTTTATTTACTGCCATGAACACTGCATGCAAATACACCCTTAGCAAGATAAAAAGGTCGTGAAGAGGTGACATCCATGTCTCTACGGATTTTTGAAGGTGAGCAGTCTGAATTTAAATCACGGTGACACATAGCAGCCTAATCAGCTTATCCCATCAGACAGTGCTTGTGTCAAATAAAATGTGATCATCCAGCAAGTCTTATTATAGACCTTCTAGAACATAATAGTTACAAATTCAAAACCACAACCAGCAGCACCAGACGAAGGAGGACTCTAGGAGAAGCACAGACTAACAACTGCAGAAATAAAAAGGATAGTAGCAAGTAAGAGTGCTTGATCAGTATTAAAGGAGAAAGGTACAATGATCTGCTTCCTTCCACGTATTTTCATCTTGCTAACTCTGATGAACAGATATATTCAAGAACCGTATCTACTCTTCAAGGTTCTTCCTTAAGAATAGTCATACACAGGTCATGAATATGAGAGATTCCACTCATCCCAGAGAGAAGCTTTCCTGTGCTACCCTGTGGCTGTAAACATGAAAGCTATCTCTCTCAGCCAAGTAATGCCTCCCTAGAACACAGCAAACAACACTTTTCACTTTCAACATATTTTCACAAAAGTTCTCGGACTCCAGATCTTCATTCCTCTTAAAAATAAACATCAGCAAAGAAAGAGGACGCTGGTAAAAAGAGCAGGATTTCAACATAGGGGAGAACCGGATAACAGGAGGTTTTAACTGAATCAAAACATTTTCTTTACTTACGAGGTATGATTTTATCAGGTCCATTTCTAGAAGTTATTTCCGTAAATTCTCTTAATATTTTAGCTGCTTTTTTAGCTTCTGACTTCAAGTTGGAAGGTATAGGGTTATTCACTGTAAAACAAGACAGAAGCAAGCAATGACATCTATGGTCAGTTTTGGATAGTTTACGTAACAATAAATTGGTGTAATATGTAGGGAGAAAGCGGTTCTCTCCAAAAAACTGGAAAACAGTAAATAAATATAAAAAATGGCCTTCTGGATCAGACCAGTATTTTATCTCTGGCAGCGGCAACAGATGATGTCACTTACAAAGAACACACAAGCCTGGTTCTTTTCTGCTATCCGTTCCCCTTGTACTTCCTCAGAATCCACACTAATTATTTCAGGTGCTATAGATATGCTCTTGGATGCTCCTGTCAGTATTTATTTATGAGCCTGTAATATGAATATGAATTTGTCTCATCTCTTTTTGAACCTGCTGATAGTCTGTGCCTCCAAAACTCCAGAAGTAGTAGTTTACTACCTGCTACATAAAGAAATATTACCTATTTTAGATTGAGCTCCTGCCCATTACAGAGAACGCCTGCTAGCTCAAGTCTCATAAAGTTTGCCAAACAACTGCATTCAACTTATCCATTACATACATGATTTTACAAATTGTCATCACCCTCCCGCCTTTTCCACTTCTTCAGGTAGAGTTCCAATCTTCTCAGTCTCTCAAGGTCCATCACTGTGATTGATTACTCTTATTGTCTTTCTCTACCATGACCAATTCTGTTTGCCTTCAAACTGAGAGGCGTTGATCAAGGAACACGCAACACTGAAAGGCTGTTTCTCTGCCTTCTCTACAGATCAGTTATTCGTGGCCGTTCCTCTCTCTTCAGAAGATATTGTTACAGAAGTAAAGCCTACCGTACGTTCTGAAAGTGAACAAAATTCTAACTATTTTGGAGAAAAGATCTCCTTTAGAAAGCTCCTGTTGAAGTAGCTTAGCTGTCAATAGCTTTTCTCCAAGGCGATCTAACATAAGCACCTCTGCAGATTTCAACTGGCAAAAAGCTGAGATTATAGGTAGTCTATGTTCGTTTTATAAAGAAGTACATTGCAGTAGCAAAAGTGAGAATCTTAAAATCTATCCCAAAAATCCACGAGGTGTCAAATTTTACAGAAAGCTGTTGACTTCATTTAGATCTGCCGTAGTTAACCAACTACTGACCAGAATCAAGTATTACGAGATATTAACATTTTGTAATATTATAAATACTAGGCCGTTAAAAAATATTAGCAGTTTGTTATTTTACATGATAGTTAATGATCTTCTATCGCAGTGGCATAATCTCATTCACATAAATTATTCTGTGTATGAACAGAAACTTTTTACCTACAGTTCTGCAAAAAGAGGCCTTAGTGCAGATAAAAAGACCTAAGTCGATCTTGATTCTTAGTTCTATTTTAAAAAAAACTCAAAAACATCACTTAAATTCTTCTTGTTTTCCAGCCTGGACATATCAGCACTCACTCTTTTTGGGTTTATCAGAAGCAAACTGTCCCAGTAAAATAAGCACAGTGTCAGACTAAAGATTCATCTAGCCTCATGTCTCGTCTCTGAAAAGAGGCTGGTCACAGTATTTCAGTAACATTTCACTGCTCTTAAATTCACAAAAGTGTAGGAAAAACAGTACATAGGGAAACAACTTCCATTCAAAACTCACCTATTTTTTTGTGTGTGTTTCTGAACATTCATTCACTTCTTCACTCTAGACAACATTCTCATCAAAAGCCATGAAGGTGAGAACTAAACACATTTTGAAATTAAGTCAGTGGAGCTTGGAGAAAAATTCAGCTCAGCCTAAACGAGGCATCTAGCGGCAAGTTAGCTGAGTTTCTCTCCACACTCCATTGACTATAATAGCAGATTACACATCTATTTTTTAAACTGAGGTCTATCCCTCCAGTCTACTCTTCAAGTAGAAAGGGAGACTCTCAAAACAAGACTTATCTCGACTGCCGAGACTTTGAACTAGTTCCCCCTGTGAAAGCTTGCAGCAATATTTTGCTTTGGAGAAAGCGCAGCAGATGTAACATTGGGAGTATGATAAAAGTCATTGCAAAGTTGGGCAGAAGCATCAATCTCCCTAGGAACATCAGGAAATGGATGTATAAAATGCAAAAGACTCTAGACTGCAGTGAGATAACAGCTGGCACACATGCTAATTCTGTCCTCCATTCCCTTCTATTTGATATTAGAAAGATAAGAGGATGGTCAAGTCCCCATGTGCAGAGGGATAGGGGAAGGTGAAGTTCTAAATTTTAAATGTTCAGGATTTTCAGAAAAAGCTATAAGCATGAGCAATTCTCTCAGATTATGGGACTAAAATTGTCAGCTGGTTTGTAGGAGTCTAGAACATGTCTTTGGTTCACCAGAAACTGGGTACACGGATAGCAAGAAAAGATGCTGGTGTTGCCCAAATAAAACATGAAAGGGTAATTGCTTTTGATAGATTAAAAGGATAGTTAAAGTGTCACAAACCAGGCTGAAGCCAAATGTTTCCACTTGCACTTAACATAGGATTTTCACGGTCAGAGGTGAAAAATTATTAATTAGCATTTTGTAAGAGGAAAAATAGGAAGATTTTTGATTTTGTATGGAGAAACATTAAGGTAGTCACCAAAAGCAAATTGCAACACCATTCTTCTGAGAGAGGCATGAATAATAGCCATTTGCATCATCAGATGAACGCTTCTGTATGTAGGTTTTCACTTAACACATTTTGTAAGTCTACAGGTCTTCTGAATTTGAAGAGGGTGTTTTAATCTTATTTAATAGAAAGAAGAATTAAGTAGCAGTCAGGCTTTTCTTTAACTGAAGTAAAATGGATAGCTGCGTGCCTGATGATAAAGGACACTTCAGCAAAGCGATCCAGACCTTTGGAAAAATAAGATGCATCCACATTGATTACTGGAGATAGAAAACTTTATGGAGCAAAACCAAGTATTATCCAGGCTCTAGATTATAGAGAAATATAAAACACTGTTTCTCTCACTCTCCTTAGCCCTGCATGCATTCCTTTCTCCCCCTTGTTTCTCTTTGACCAATCATGGATTTTGGAGGAACATCTCCAACACATTTCTTACTCCCAAAATGACAAAAAAACGTTCATATTTCAAGCATGTTAAGAGTGAGCTCCGTCAGCTAAGTCTATTGACAAAAATATGACAGGTTTTTAGATCTAAAAGACTCTGTAAAGAAGAGATGAGTAACAAAAATGCATTTCACATTTTCCATTCACATCTTCAAATTCAGAATTGCTTCAGGAAGATTTTATAGTTACCAGAAAGTAGTTTGTGCATATGTACAGGCACACAAGTGTTACTATTTAACTGAAGACAATTCAAAGCTGAGCCCTGTGAGCCAGCAAAAGTAATACTGTTACCACATCACTGTCTCTTCAAGTCTGAACACACCAATAGTTTTGAAATCAGATTTTGGCTGCAGGTTTGGGGCAGGAGGGATGGTGTCGAATAATGATTTACAACGTTAACTTACAAAGTTTCACAAGATCTTCGAGGCTGGCTCCATGATTTTCCTACCTGCTTTATTTTTATGCTGGTGTTGCAATCTATCTGCAGAACATCGGTATGATTCTAAACATTATATACCCAAATTAAGGCTTTGGACAGAAAAAAAGCATTACTTGAAAAGCAAATTGAAAATCATACATTCCCGCTTCAAACCTCTAAAAGAGTATTTTTGTGCTGTATGTTGTGGGGTTCCTTTACTGCCAGAGGACAGGGAAGAGAGAGAGATTCCTCATCCAGCTGTATATGGCAAGCATGAGGATAAGCTAACATCCCAGCCTCAAAAGAACAGCAGTCTCTGCACCTTCTTCCTATATTACTTGTTGCCTATGTCAGTATTATTTCTGCATCACTTACATATTTACAGAAATTCAAGCTTGCATTGTCCCTTGCTTTCTTCCTTCCTGCCACACACTTAAGCAATCCAGGACTATTTTTCCTGAACTAAAAACAGCATGATTTGACAACATTCTAAAAATTATTTTGCACGGAGCAAGACCTGTATGCTTTCAGAGGCAGGCTAAGAAGGGGGACATTTCTAAATCGCACTGGAGATAGAGAGGTGAGAGAGAAGGGAAAAAGGAGGAGGATAAACACTTTATCAGCATCACTGCCAACTGGAGAGTTCAAAGCTGTCTTGTAAAGATTATTTTCAAGGAGGAGTTCAGCTACTTCTACCAGTACAAGTAAGATGACTTACATCCAGACTTTAGAAAGCAGCAGACACAAAAATTAAAATGACTTTACTTTTAGCAAGTGAACGAGACACAGAAAAGTTTTAGCAACAATGGACAGGGTGAGCAAGTCAAATGACTAAACATTTTCAGCACTGCAAACCAGCATGGTTACTCAAAGTGGCTACTATTCAAATAACGGAACTTAGAGGGAGACGCTTTGGAAAGAATTACTTTTATACTATTATGTAAATACTAAAGAACTGGCAGGAAGCATATGGGGTCTTGAGGAACTGATGACTTTTTTTTTTAAAAAATACACACTTTAAACTAATACTTGTATCATTGAGAAAATGGGAAGGTCTGGCTCTCCCTCCTAGGCTGTATCACATAAATTTAGGATTTTATTGACAGAACTCAAGATTAAACAAGGAACACACAACAATTAATGGACAAAAGGTGAATCTTAACGGTTAGATATATAGTGTAGATGAGGCCTCATTCTTACTCACTCAAATTTTAGATCAGTTTCACAGAACTTTGACCAAAGCAGAACATTAAGTATTTTCTATTAAAAAAAACAAAAAAGTGGAAAAATCACACAAGCATGTCAGAGACTATCCAAAACTAGTTATTTACTTCTTCTTAAAAAAAGTACAGGGGACTTTTGACTACAAAATATTAGTGTTTGCCCCAAACTACAAGATAAATAAAGTGATTAAAGACTAGACTGAAGGTGATGGATGGGATCTTGATTCTACATATCTTAACTGCTGTATAAACAAACAAAACCATAACTAGGATTTCTGTGACATCAAAAGTGGTTTAAAATTCTGTTCACCCAAACCGCCCCTCCCTCTCAAGCTTATGTTACTATTTGAACGTATTTTTTTCTTAAAATCTGATTAGATATTACAAAAGTTTGCTGAACAAAAGTTGTAGAAATATCTGTTCTTCAATACAAATA